ATAAACCGTAACTTTTGAGGGGGTCTTGACTTTATTTGCCAGACACACGGCACTGAACACACATGCAGAGGTGAACACAGAACACACATGCAGTGAACATAACCAATAACCTACCATAGCCAATAACAAATTAATGTAACTTATTTCATTTGTATTGTTAATTCATATCTTATTTTACCTTAACATTTATTTATTTATGCATTTTTTTTGTATCTCTCCAGTTTAAAAGGATATTTTTGGTTACTCTCCTATAGTATACATTGGAATGATTTCAAACCTGTTTATCCCAATAATTATAAAGGAGTGCCTTGGAAATATGTGTTAACATAAATTGTGACCAAACCGTTTGAACTTAGACTAAAGTTAACTATCTAAACACTCAAGAGTCCTTTACCTCACTGAGCTGTAGTTATCAGCCTCTCAGTCTTACTGGAGAGGACTCTCTCTCCACATTATTGTAGACACATCTTCTTCTTATATCCGTTAGAGCAGCTAGCACCAGATTCTAATAACAACAGAGCCGGTACCAGTGCACCCTCCCTCTCTCCCTCGCTCACTCGCACTTTGGCTGTGAGCTGCGGGCGCCAGATAAGCCAACATCCCCCATTTTCATCACTTACAGCGCCCATCGTACAGGGCAAATGAAACGTGTAACCAAGGTGAAAAGGGTGTTACTTTGACTTAATTATGAATATTGTTACATCAAGGCCGAAAATTAGGATGAGCACCAACGGTCAAAAATGTGTTTTCCCTCCCAGCACAGCGCCTCCCCAGATCTGGCGCCCTAGGCGAAAAGTTATAACGCCAGTGCTACAGGCCGGCCCTGAGTTCATATGCAACACGCAACTCGCAAATATCTTTCTCTCTCTCTCTCTCCTCTCTTCTCTCTTTTCTCTCTCCTCTCTTCTCTCTCTCCCTCTCTCAATGTTGGTACGCAAACGCGCCTTTTTTCAAATGACCCGGTGCTCTTTTTTTGGCGGAGGTGCGCATGCGCACCTGCGCACCAGTTATGTGCAGCCCTGGTTATGAAACTTTTTCTGCATGTAAATGGTCTGCAGAGTCACAAACCCTCAAAGTACATCCTGTAGCGAGTAAAACTCTAACACAGAGAAGACCTGTCTATGCTGCCCCAGAACGCCTCGTTGGACATTTCTCTTTTTCCGTTGTTTTCTTCCTGAGTATAGTGACGTAACGATACCCAGGTCCAAATGGACCAATCTGCGGAGCTCCTCACACACACACACTCACTCAACCTTATCTTTTCTCAGCTTCGGCTCCGCTGATCTCCACTCACAGTTTGCCACACACTCACATGTGTGTGCTCAGGCTGAGTTCCGCGGTGTCTTGCTGTCTCGCTGACCCCACGCAGCAACCAGGAAACGACACCAGTAATCCAGCTCACACTGTCCGCTCCTCAAGCCTCAAAGGGCGGAGCAGCGAGCCCTGCAACGTCCCGCCAACACGGCACCCAGAACCCACGCAGCATTCTCATCTGTTTGTCTTTACTAGTGTCATTTTCTGGTTGCTAACAAACGCCATTGTAACACATAAACACTGATGTTCAGCTGTAACGGTGGTGGACTAATCAGAACAGAGTGGGCGAGCTGACCAATCAGAGCACACTGGGCTCATAGGGAGGGGGGGGGCAGTTCATAGTACACATACTACACAGAGATGCTGTATGAGAAACCAATGTGAGTTTGGAAAATGTAACAATGTAAATCTATTCTAGTAGACCTCAACAATGGAATTATGATCAGTGGAAATGGCCATGTCATGGGACCTTTAAAAAAAAAACTGAAAAAAACCCACTTGTATAACTTTTATTTGTATAGTGCTGTGTTGACCAGATTAGCCTCAATCGTGGCTGGTCGCACCTGTCACTCCAAGACGGCGTTAAATGTGAGAATTGTCCAGAGAGAATTCCACAGGCAACTTTTTGCCTGTAATGAGTGCACCATCCGAGTACTCAAAGTGAATTTCGCCATACTTTGCATTGGTACGCACTGATGCACTCGAAACAACAGAAGTATGTAAATTCAGACTCAGCAATGGTGTATCACCCACAACATTCAGAGTAAGCTACTAAACGGGTGCAACAGGCACCTTAGAATCACTTTTTTTCATCTGAAATTGCATATAATATATCTACCAAAAAGAGGAATTTTACATCATGCTGCATTTGGTCAAGACTACTTGCCAGCTGAATATTACAATTGTAAAATCCAGTAACAAACACTGGCACACCTGCAGCCAGTTACCCATTGTCCTTGTCCGTGCCAGGCTAAACAAGGCGAACAGTGTCCCGTGTGATGGAGAACCCTCTTTATCATTACCTCTCACTGCTCCCCCCCCGCTGGGTTCCTCATCTGGCCGCCAGGACGCTTTTGGTTTCCGGGCTGATGTCTGGCTGCTGTTAGTACCCAGCTGCTTCTCGGATTCATCTGAAACAGACTGACAGGAAATAGGATTTAAGTCAGGGAAGTGCCTTCAAGATAAAACTGTGTTATTAAACAATATGTATATTAACAATACATACAATAATAAATGTACAAGATGATAAGCTAACTTAACAGTATCAGTCAGTTTTTAACTCTACAAGATTACAAGTTTGTGTGGATTGGACCAATGGTGCCTTTCAGTGAGCTGCCATGTTGTTACGGGATTGACCATACAAGGTCCCTTAATCCAACAACCTTTAACAGACCGCTATCTGTTAAAGGTTGTTGGCTTATCGATAAAGAGTACCACAGTGAGTCAAATTATTCAGTACCTCTTTCAAGAACAGCTCAAACTGTTCATCCAGCTGATCCTTGGTTAGTCTGTGAGACATAGCGACACAACTGTCCTCTCCATCAGCCAATGAGAACCGAGACAGCTGACATAAGGACAAAAAGAATATCATGAAAAAAAGTAAAAGAAATGTAAAAAAATACTGTGATGAGCTGAAATGATGTGTTATGTACAGGTATCATATTATTTGTACTTAATAACTCAAGTTCTTTATGAGAACAGTAAAGATGTGGCTTTCACACCAGCGCTTTTCCCTTTCTAGCTCCGAGCTAGAGCTTTTCTGGTTCAGCTCCGGTTTCCCTTTTCTGCTCCCACTTTGTTCACACCACTCAGAGCCGGGATGGTGCTGCCGCTGCTGCGTCATGACGTCACCGTTTACATCGCTTATTTGCTCCCCAACGGCGCTCACAACAACAACAACGGGGGACTGCGTCGGGTCGATGATCGTGTTGCTTTTAAAGCAAAGCCAGGTTAAATTAAATAACGACTTCTCCAACCTTATACTTTTCAACCTGTGCAGCCCATCTATGGATTCCATCCGATAGCTGCTATAATAAAAAACAAAGAGTCTGCCTGCTCTCCACAATGATCAATAACAGTGAACGGATGGTCAAAGTAAGGTACAAATAAACAGAATCACACAAAGCCTGGTTAGTGTTGCCTGACTTTATAACGTTTTTTTTTTTTAATAAGTGTGTGGTTGCCTTCCAGTCACTTTGCTCAGCGCGACTGCTTGTAAGCAGGCATGACGAGACTCTTCAGTCGACCCATGTTCAGGGGAGGTGGGTTTAGTTTCCTGCACGCCTCGACGTAAGAGAGACTTAAGCGACGCCGCCTCTTAGCTCCGAAGCTCTTGCTTCTAGACGAAAATATTTTGGAGCTTGAAGTGAACCGGATTCAGAAGCTAAGAGGCGGCGCCGCTGCTGTGTGAACAGGAAAAGCCGGTACTTTTCAGGCTCTAGCTCCAAGCCGGAGCTGAAAAGGCGTTAGGCATTAGTGAAGCATTGCAAATCAAGGGCTTCTGTGTCAGTAAGGAAGGAGAAACATTCAGCCTGAGGAACATCCTTACTGGCACCAAGTGCAAGGTCAGCTTCACCTCACTGCAAGAAAGAAGAAGTAATTAAGAAATTGTGAATCGTTTTTAATTTACATTTACTCGCCTTTGCAATGTTGTGGTTGTTAGTGTTAGGTTTCCTGTTAGGTTTTTTAAAGGCTGATCGGTCTGCTTGGCGAAGATATAAGAATATTAGTTTCATCGAAGTCAACCGTCACATATAAGAGCCATTAAGACATACAGCTACATAGGCTAAAACAAACAATCTAAAGATATAACCTTGCACTGTTGATAAGTCTCAACATTGCTCACTATTATTGACATTGTGGTATAGATCAGCAGGAAGGATATAAATGCCGTTAGAGCTTAATCCATATGAAAAAATGAAAATAGGTGTCAGCTGTTGACACTAATTATTTAATAGTTATATTTCTTTAATTATTTTCTAATTATTTGTTATTAGTTCAATTAATGTCAACTGATTCCTGCTACAATCTTTTAGCTTACATTGGTGAAACGTTATGCTGCTTGCTTCACTAATTAGGACTTGTATCATATAAACCACAACAGGTTTTAAATAGGATTTATTCATGTATCTTTACCTATTTCACCGTGACATGGGGACAAAAATGTAACGGTTCAGCTTACCAGCATGGGCACGAATCCAGACGGTCTGCCTTTGGAAAACATTGGCCGGGGAAACGAGTGGGGTAGTAGAACGAGCACCGTTTCATGCGAAGACCTCTGCGCTGCAACCCGGAGCAAAGAGCAACAAACCATCTGCGTAGCTAAGTAGTAGCGCTAGCTTTAGCTGAACGTATAGCTAACGAACCAAACTGGGCCGGAGTAACAATCGGAAAACACTGGTAATGAATATTCTATAATTTTGGTAAAACTCGGTTTATAAAGCGGACATTTCAAAAATACAGATTCTAATGGTCAGATATTTAGATATATGTAGATTAGCGGCCGGCGACTCGCATTAAAAAAAATTTAATCTAATTAATTTACAGCCTTTGCTAATTAATAATCGCAATTAATCGCATTTTTAATCACATAGCAAATATTTGACCTGAGCAACAGGTGAGAAAAGGCAATTTTTTTCACATGGATTTTAGATATACCATTTGAATAATGACTGGAAGCTACATCAAGCTTAAGCCCAACAAAACATTGTTTTATTTTTTTCATCGGTGCAGCTACACTGCTGCCATAAAGTGTTAGCAATAGCAGTATTTACGGAAGTATTAGCTACATTTCAGAGATTCAGGTAGGCCTATTAGGTAGCGTACACCTTCTGTAAACTGATTAACACTTTGTTTTTTATAAGTAAACACAATACTTTCATAGCTACTTTCACGAACATTGCGCAAACCCATGACTATTAGAAAAACATCTTCTCTGTTGCTTCAGGAGGCCATAAAGCAGACTTTGTTGATTTTACCAACAGTTGATTTTAAAATAATCTAATCAATTTCGAGTCCAACCCTCTCTCAAGTAAAACCGCTTGCCAAAACAAGTAAACAGTTCAACATAAAGTGCCAGTGCTGCACCAACAAACAATAGAATAGTTCAACCATAGAGAGAAGGTGTACTGTACCATTTAAAATAAAAAAGTGCCAGTGATTGACCTCAATCCCTCCTTATTCTTCCAATATCCCCCCCTGGGCAATGGGGAAAAAAAATAAAATCTCTCTGTTGCATAGGCCACTGTTTGATCAACGCGAATTGGCGTGTGGAGTCCTTGTACTCCGAGTCGGGCTAACGTCCACGCTAGCTTCCACGCTAGCTGCTATAGGTGTGGTTGCATTGAGGTGATACTTGTAGGCTTGAGTGCTGCGGTGAATATGCAAATTCACTTTTTGCAGTAATTTGCAAACGAACCTTGCTCTTATCGACGCTTCCATCCGTCCGTTTTTTTAAAACAAAATGTCCCATCCACGGGGGCGCGCCAACGAAAAGGCGGTCTCATCAGCTTCTTCGTCGACTATTGTTCACTGTGGTTTGTGTTGTGCGTGAAGTCGATGACGTTAGTTTGGCTCGCGGTATTAGATTGGTGCCCAGTATAATCGTACCCCTTGAAACTTCATCCAGTGAGAAACGTTCCGCGGTACAAAAGAGATAAGTGCGATTAAATGCGCGTGGGTTGGGCTGTAGATTTGTGGTGCTAACTGACCGTAGCGTGCATGAGGGCGCCCCGCGGGAGAGAAGCCGCCCCGGTCGACAGCGGTAGATACTAAAGATACTTACAGATAGGCAGGTACTTGCTTTCAAGCAGAACACAGGGAAAACCATAGAAAACAAACTTAGCTGATGAGTACGTGTTCGCTGCACGAAGGGTGAGCGAAGCGCCTCGACAATTTCTGTAGTCCTATTCAGCACTCTGTAGAACAACCATCATTTTTCGACACGTAAACTGGCTTCAAAAATTCACCAGTGGGGTCTACTGCTGATGTATTTGATGTCGTTTTAGAACAAAACGTGAATTTATCTCTTAAATTTGTGTCAACACAGACCTTATTTCGAGCGTATTTTCCAAAACCCCTATGGAAAAAATGCATTTGCTTTTTGACGAAGGGGAACCGGAGGTGCTAAAAATGCCTAACGTTTATTTCCGGTTTTTAGACTGCGGCGTCTCTATTAGTGTGATGGCACCCTAAAGCAGCGTGATAATTTCATGGTGGAATGCGAAAAGACGATGGAACAAGAACACTGTAGGGTTTTAGCCTGTTGAGTAGATCAGCATACTCATGCGCTGTATTGTACTTGAATGTTGACAATTTTTACATTTTTAAATTTTAAGATGTATTTTTCCACCCAATTTTACATGGAATTTAAATGTGCTTTAAATACCACATTAACCTGAATCCGACTATTGAAGGCGGACGAATAATGGAGGCAGCAGCACTTTATCTTTCAGCACGCACACATTCAGCGACACCACAAACTCCCTCAGGCTGGGCACCGTTCACTCCTCAGCACGAGATTAGCCTCCTGTACACAAAGAAGAGGACCCGCCCTTACCGCTGCTGTGCCAATTCACAAGGCCGCATGTTACATGCTGGCTCTGTCAGATTCCGCCGTGATTGGCCGAGAGCCTATTCAGTTCCCAGCTGATTAAGATCCCAGACAGAAAAAAGCATGCTGCATTTATTAATGAAATATTCTGGGATATGTTGGAGTTATGGAGAAAGTTGGATGATGGCATGCCATTAGAGGATACAACGTCTGCATGTAATCAACAACTGACTGGCCCTCAAATAAAGAAAGTAAATAATTAAAAAACAACAATTATTTATTGTCAATAAACATTGAACTATACAGATTATACAGATAAATACGTGTGGCATATGTGTAATGCTCCTCTCGGGCTGCATTTAAAAAATAAAATAGAGAAAATAAATAAAATAGCTTTGTGAAAAATATGTGCATCTTTAAAAGTGCCTTGATTTTAGATAAATAAAATAAAGTTGTAGCAGCCAGCTTGAGTTTCCCTTTTTCTTTGTTAAACCGTTTCACATCATGACTTAAACAGTTTCAGGACCAATTATAGGAACAATGTCAGTCTGTTACATATCATAACAATTGGAAAACAGTTTTAAAGTTTCTCTTTCTTTCCCTTCTTCTATTGCAGTCCCTCACTCACTTTTTTTATTCAGTGCGGAATTGAGAGCTTTGAGGCTTTGTCCAGCCAGCTAGGTTCGGTTCTAGGAGGGGGGGGGGGGCAGTGCCCCCTAACACTGAACTCAATCCCCCTGGCCCTCCTGATAAAGAAAAGGAAAAAATGAAAAGTTTATGATTTATTACCACAAGTATTGAATGCGGAATAGGCGATACTAACGTATTCGTCATTTCTATCGGTACGTTATTGAGCGGTGCCACTCACTTTCACTGTGTGCTGAATGCTGCGCGATAAAACAAACCCTTTTTCATCTTTGACATCAGAGGTTCGTTGCATTCCATAGAAAGACTGGATGAAAATCCTACGTTTCGAGAGTACTTCCACAATAACAAGGAGGATTAAAACTATTGTATCCGTGTCATGTACAAGGTAGACTTTAGGTCTAGTAAGTGTTGTTGGTGTGACTAAGTTAGTTACGTAGTGGGCAAATAATCAACTGACAGCAAACAGTTGTTCACCACGTCATCATGCTAGCACCTAAATTATGCCATTTTTAAAATAAATAAATAATTAAAGGGATGTGTCCGGTCCGTCAGCGAACCGAAGCTTCAGAACACGTCTGGGAATTCTCCCTTACCTTTTACCAATTAATAAGTACTGTGCCCCAGCTTTGGGTGNGGCTTTCACACCAGCGCTTTTCCCTTTCTAGCTCCGAGCTAGAGCTTTTCTGGTTCAGCTCCGGTTTCCCTTTTCTGCTCCCACTTTGTTCACACCACTCAGAGCCGGGATGGTGCTGCCGCCGCTGCGTCATGACGTCACCGTTTACATTGCTGATTTGCTCCCCAACGGCGCTCACAACAACAACAACGGGGGACTGCGTCGGGTCGATGATCGTGTTGCTTTTAAAGCAAAGCCAGATTAAATGAAATAGCGACTTCTCCAACCTTATACTTTTCAACCTGTGCAGCCAATGTATGGATTCCATCCGATAGCTGCTATAATAAAAAACAAAACGTCTGCCTGCTCTCCACAATGATCAATAACAGCGAACGGATGGTCAAAGTAAGGCACAAATAAACAGAATCACACGAAGCCTGGTTAGTGTTGCCTGACTTTATAAAGTGTGTTTTTTTGTATAAGTGTGTGGTTGCCTTCTAATCACTTTGCTCAGCACTACTGCTTGTAGGCAGGCATGACGAGACTCTTCAGTCGACCCATGTTCAGGGGAGGCGGGTTTAGTTTCCTGCACGCCTCGACGTAAGAGAGACGTAAGCGACGCCGCCTCTTAGCTCCGAAGCTCTTTTTTCTAGACCAACAATTTTTTGGAGCTGGAAGTGAACCGGGTTCCAGAGCTAAGAGGCGGCGCCTCTGCGGTGTGAACAGGAAAAAACTGTACTTTTCAGGCTTTAGATCCGAGTCGGTGCTGAAAACGCGTTGGTGTGAAAGGGGCAAGAGAGGGAGTGGGACTAAGGTGGCTCCTATACACATAACCCGATTATCACTGAATATCAGAATGCAGCACAGTGAGGTTACACAGATTTCATACAGCTGACGCTTATAACTATTCCTGTTGATGCACATCCAATTTGAGTCAGCTGCCACCCTGTGTTACTGTTAGAATGGCTAGGCAGATATTATGTCAATATTATATTATGAAACTAGGTATCGCATTTTGCAAATCGTAACATCACATGATTTTGTTTTACTTGTTTTAAAGGCTGCATACAGTACAGTGGGGCAATATTATGAACCCACCAGACTGTTCTAGCTAAACTTATTTGCCTTTACCTATTAAGTCATTACAGTATATCCCATAACTATTGATTATTTATCAAACATTTGTGGGAGGACCAAAAGTCAACCATACAATATGGTCAGAGTTTATAACTAGCTGGGACCTTCAGCTAGTAACACACATCCCTAGTAAGGGTCTGCCTTAAATTATGTATTAAGGTATCAGCATTAATAACATACCAGTTAGGTCTTTATGAAAAGATGTTGACCGGATTTAGTTTAATTTGGCCACTTCTAAGCCAGACAACAGAGTGTTTATCGGAAGTGCTCATTGTTAGTGACACTGTTTATGCTCACTAAAAGGGTCTTATTTGAATAATGGCCTTATAATAAATAAATAAAAAGAATGTGATCAAAGAAAAGGGGATGTTGTTATCGAGGCGTCATGCAATAGAAAGAAAGCACGTGTAGTTTCCGTTGATAACTATCAAAATAAAACATGTTACCGACGTTATTTCATTAGTTATGCATATACATCGACATTAAAGTTCGGTTGAGTCTTCTCCCCACCTCCAACCGATAATACCATGATGTTTCTTGGTGTAGCACAAATTGTACTATAGATAAGTGAGCGCACCATTTTTATTTTGAAGAAAGTATTGCCTTATTCCGGTGTTTTACAGGATGATTGACAACGCTAGCTAAGTAGTTTATCTCCTTAGCTAGTAACGTTAACTGGTTAGAAAAGTAAATAAACGATATGCTACTGCATAGAGAAAACGCATTACAATGTCCTCAGCGTACATGTATCAAGCTGCCATCAGCAGAACTCACATGAAAGACTCGACTTTGATGGAACTCTCTTAACTGGACACTTGTTCAAACGTCCTCCTCCTTAGTTTGTTCATTTGAGTATCTGGCAGTTCCCGCAACATCCAGAAGAAGGATTCTCAATTCTCTTCTTCTTCTTCTTCTTCTTCTTCTTCTCTTGCTTTTGGCGGATTGCAAACAACTTAAAAGGTGCATACCGCCACCTACTGTACATGAGTATGCATCATCACATCATTCCAAATCATTAACCTATGTTCTAATCAAAAATTAAAATTAAAATAAATCAATCAATCAATAAAACCATTAAATAAATAAAACAAAACAAATCTATGTTCTTTCCTGACCTAATGTTACATTATTTTTCCTACCCCAGTTTCACTCAAGAATTTAAACAGTGCCTTTCTGGTAGCTTTTACTCCCTCTCCTTTTGTTCCCAAAACACCAACCACACTCCACTCCCTCTCTGCCTCTAAGACTTTAGCCTTTAATTGTTCTCTTTCCGCTTTATAGATGTCACAATGTAACAATATATGTTCTACATCTTCTTTTACTGCACAGTTCCCACACTTGTTACTGTCACTTTTCCCCATGATATACAGCGT